ACTTACAATATCACTAATGTGAAAATATGTTTAACAGAAATGTAAATGTATAGCCTATATCAGATTGTGTGCTGTCTTGGGGAAGGTGGTGGGGAGGAAAGGGGAGAAAAATTTTAAACTAAAGCATATGGAAGTGATTATTGATAAATCAAAATTAATAAAAAAAAGAAGTTGCATATTTATTCGTAAATTGTGTTTTAGAGAGGTAGCATGGCACAGAAGAGAACCAGCCTCAAAATCAGTTAGACCTAGGGTTCAAGTTGTGCCTCTAACATATCCTTGGCTGTGTGACCTTAGATAAGTCTCAACCTCTCAGTACTGCAGTCAGCTAACATACACAAAAACAGAAATTTTAAGAAGATAAGAATGAAACAAGCAAGTAAAAATTTTTTTTACAAATGGAACAAAAAAATCTTTTTGCTTGATATTATTTTAGGAAGAGGAATAACTGAACATGTTTTATTATTTTTGAAAATCTTAGTTTCACTCTCATACCACAATTCAAAGATGTGGTTCAAAGTGTGGTTTAAATTGTTATGGTTTTAATGACTGTCATGGCCAAACTATATCTCACAAAGTTATATAGAAGCACATAATTAACTGCACTTACTAAAACAAGATATTAATTTTACATTTCTACTCACCAATTATGCAAAGGTTTGTGCTGAAATTTGGCTAGTAAATTTCACTCTTCTCTGATGTCAACTAGTTGTTCTTGCAAGTGAGTCCAAAGTTACTGCATTTGTATATTTTATAATAAATGGGTTCAAAATGCACTGAAACTCTTTGCAAAACTTTTAATTGGCATAGAAAAGTTTGTTTCCAAGTGTAAGTATGCTGAAATGAATTTTTACAGGGTGATATGCTTACATCATCTTTGGCAACAAAGACTTTGTTTTTAATTGTCTTGCTAATTTCATAGTGTCATACTATTATATTAGCTAATATCTGTTTTGAACATAGTAAGTGCTTATTAATAAATGCTTTTTCATCCCCAATATTTAAATGGTCAAAGGATATCAACAAACAGTTCTCAAAATAAGAATTGCGAACTATTAACAACCATACAAAAGAATACTCTGAATCACTAGTAATAAGAGAAATGTAAATCAAAACAATTTGAAGATTTACCTTGTATCTAGCAAACTGGCAAAAATGACAAAGAGGGGAATCTTTTGGGAATCAAACTGGAGGGGTGAGTGGTAGACAGGCATATACTAGTACATTGTTGGTGGAGCTATGAAACAATACAACCATTTTGGAAAGCAATTTGGAATTATCCAAATAAAGTGGCTAAAATATTCATACTTTCTGACCCACAGATTCCACTATGAGGCCTATACCCAAAGGAATTTATGGATAAGAAGCGCACACGCACGCACACACACACACACACACACACACATACACACACACATTTATAGCAGTACTTTCATTTGGTAACAAAAAATTGGAATGCCCACCGAATAGCTGAAAAAAATTGAGGTACAAGAATGTAAAGGAATATTACTGTGCCATAAGAAATTGTGAATATTATGAATGAGAGGCATAAAAAGACCTAATGAATTGATACACTGTAAAGTAAGTAGAGCCAAGAAAGCAATATGACTACAGTAACATAAATGGAAAAAAACAAGCACCACAAAATAACCAAAAGTAAACATTATAAAATTAAGAAAGAACATACATGGCCCCAAAGAAGAGATATGAGAAGATTCCTTTGATGAGGCAGAAGTGTTCCACAAGTGTGGAACATTAAATTTTCAGACTTTTTTGATGTAACTGGTTTTGCTGATTTTTCTTTTAAAAAAATATATTCTTTATAATGTGGGTGGGAGAAGGAGGGAAATTTAGGAGATGTGAAAAATATCTCAGTAAAATGTTATCTTGAAAAATGCTTTTTCACTCATTTATCTTAAGGTATACTATATACTTAGATAGAAGTTTATTGTTAATTTAAAGGACGTAAATCCAAATTTCATATAATCTTGATAATTTTAAAAATTTTTGGCCAACCATTCCCCAATTGATAGTCAAAAGATATAAACAGGCTGTTTTCAGAAGAAATCAAAGCTATCAAGTCAAATAAAAAAGTGCATAAAATCACTATTGATTAGAGAAATGCAAATTAAAACAACTGAGATTCTACCTCATACCTATCAGATTGACTAACATTACAGAAAATGAAAATGACAAATGCTAGAAGGGATATGGAAAAATTGGGACACTGATACACTGCTGGTGGAGCTGTGAATTAGTCCAACCATTATGGAGAATAATTTGGAACTATGCCCAAAGAGCTATAAAACTGTGCATACCTTTTGATCCAGCAATCCCACTATTAGGTCTGCACCCCCGAGAGGTCAAAGAAAAAAAGGAAGGATCCTTCTGCATAAAAACATTTATAGCAGCTCTTTTTGTGGTGTCAAAGAATTAGAAATTAAGGGGATGCCCATCAACTGGGGAATGATTGAACAAATTGTGGTATATGAGTGTGATAGAATACTATTATGTTATAAGAAATAATGAGCAGGATGATTTGAGAAAAAACTGGGAAGATTTATATGAACTGATGCAATGTGAGATGAGCAGAACCAGAGCGCTGTACACAGTAGCAGCAATACTGTAAGGATGATCAACTGTGAAAGACTTAGCTGCTCTGATCAAGACTATGAGCCAAGATAATTCCAAAGAACCTATGATGAAAATGCTATCCACCTCCACAGAAAGAACTGATGAACTGTTGAGTACATATGGAAGCATACTTTTTTAAGCTTTATTTTTCATGGTTTTGTGTGTGTATGTGTTTTCTTCTGCAACATGGTTAATATGGAAATGTACTGCATGACTTCACATGTATAACTGACATCATATTGTTTGCCTTCTCAATGGATGGGGGAGGGGCAAGAGGGAAGAAGAGAATTTGGAACTCAAAATTTTTAAAAAATTAATGTTGAAAAATTTTTACATGTAATTAGGAAATATTTAACAAAATAAGTAAAAGTACATTAAAAAATTGTTTTGGCTGACCTGTCAGATATGATTAGATCATCCACATCTAATGTGGCTTGACAAAGGGCTCATACTGAAAGAAGCGTTGTATTTGCCATTTTCTTACAGTTCACTTGTACTTATACTAATAGTATTATCCTACTCTGCAGTCTCTGCAGGAATCTTCTTAAATCACCTGTCTACTCTGTGGGTGTCAGTTTAATTAAAACTGGGTAATATAATCTATGAATCACAGAACCTGAGAGCTGGAAGGGGCTTCAGTGTCCACCTAATCTAATCCATACACAAAAGAAATTTCTGCTCTAATATTCCTGAGAAGTGATCACATACAAAGCCTGTGAAAAGGGAGAACTATACCACCTGAGTTAGTCCATTCCACTTTTGGACAATTCAAATTGTTGGGAAATTTTTCCTGATACCATCCTATGTTGGTCTCTTTGCAACTTCTACTGCTCCTAGTTCTGCTCTCTGGGGCCAAGCACAACAAGTTACATCTTTCTCTACATCACAGCCCTTTAGATGTGTGAAGACATCTATCATGTCCCCCTTGAATCTTCTCTTCTGCAGGCTGAACATGCCCAGTTCCTTCAACCTAATCTGATGTGACACGGACTTCAGACCCTTCACTATCCTTGTTACTATTCTTAATCCAACTTATTAAGGTCTTTCTTAAAGCAGGGAGCCCAGAACTAGACACAATATTCCAGATGAGGTCTGACGATGACATGGTACAGTGGGATGGTCTCCTCCCTATTCCTGGAGAACCAGGAGAACGTTGTACATAGTAACAGCCACACTGTGCAATGACTAACTTTGATAGACTTAGCTCTTCTCAGCAATGCAAGGATCTAAGACATGTCCAAAAGTCTCACGATGGAAAATACTATCCACATCCGGGGAAAGAACTATGGAGTGTGAATACAGATCAAAGCATACTATTTGCTCTCTTTTTTTCTTCTGTTTTGTTTCTTCTTTCTTGTGGTTCTTCCAATTGGTCCTAATTCTTCCTTACAACATGACTAATGTGAAAATATGTTTAATAGGAATGTACATGTAGAACCTATATCAGATTGCACAGAATCTTGGGAAGGGAGATGGGGAGGGAGAGGGTGAAAAATTTAAAACTCAAAAGCATATGGAAGTGATTGTTCAAAACTATAGATAAATCAATAAATAAATGAAACATTAAAAAAAAAAAGAATATACCAAATATTGGAAGGGATATACAGACTGAGTGAAGGTACCAGTTTTGAACTATAAGTTAGGTATTAGTAAAGCTAAATTTCTTTCTTTTCTTTTTTTTTTAGATTAAAAAGGTCTCATTTTCCTTCTGTACTTTAATGAACTGCCCTGTGCACCTGACCCTGTCTGGAAGAAAACTGTCCTATAATAGTGTTTTTCAAAGCGCAGGTTGGAACACACCAGTTTACTGCCATATAGATTCATTAACAAGCTTCAGATTTTTTCTCCTCATTTTTTATTCTTGTAGAAATGAGAATCTAGTAATTTATCAACATTTGTGTCTATACCATGGGGAAAGATGTACACTTTGGCCAAAAATATAAATCCTACAATAAATATTTTCCCAAATAATGTTATATTAGTAAATGTGGCTACAGTGATGGTTACTGAAAGACCTACTGCCTAGGTACAGACCAACATGACTAATGCTGATATTTTAAGTTGTTTACTTTTAAAATCTTAATATGATAAAGTTAGTTTTGTAGAACATATTACTCTAAAAGCAAGGGAAATATTTCTTTTATTGACCTCAAGAATAAATGTTTAGAATAATTTTTTGTGAAATACTGGAACATTCTGCAACGGTAACACTACTTGAAGAATTAATAAACATGGTAGGGACAAAATCTATTTCTAAAGAGGATTGATGTCTAACAGAATTAAGAGAAATAATTTTTTGAAAGCTTTTTTTTAGACAATTGCAACCATTCAACACACAATTTCCACTCCCATCAAATTGAACTAACCGTTATGTCAAACAGTACTGTGGCCTCCTTCTGGCTTGGTGATTTGTGCAATGTTGCTAACCTGCTTAGAAATAATGGACACAAATACAATTTCAATTAGTAAGGATAAATAAAAATTTCAATTTACAGAGTGGTTTTGCTACAATTCTAAACTGTGCTAAACTAAAATTCTAAACACAAAGTGAACAGTAGTGAAAAAAGGTGAACTTCTTTGCAAAGAGTCCTTTCTATTTTTTAAACTATGTCCCTCTTTATTAATCTTCAGGAAAACTGAAAGTAGTTCACCTTCAGACAAAAATGTAAAAAAGAAAAAGTATTGTTTAAACCTTCCTATAATGACACTACTTTACATCAGTAAGCATTGTAGTTTTCAAAGTGATTTCACACCCATAACTTTATTTGACCCTCCTTCGTACCCTGAAAGGTACGTACAAAAATATCTTACAGAAGAAAAAATAGACTCGAGGATTAATGACTTGCCTGTGTTCACACAGCTACAGGGTAATAGAATTCAAACTAAGCTTTTATGGCTACCTTCAGCAAATTTAAAATTACTACAAAAATGTAAATAGAAACGTAAATGTCTCTTAAAGGCTTATATATGTAACTTGAAATCAAATAATACAATGACTTGGGATGAAAATCTTTGGTAAGTCCTCATTATAGAAAAACAATTTATATTTGGTGTCTACATCTCAGGGAATTCATAGAATTTCAGCAATTTAAAAAACCAAACAGAGGAATCTCTTGGCTAATGGTTACATTTGGGATGAAACACAACATATGGCTGAACTACATAGTTTAGGTCAGGAAGAAACAAGTCAGAAGCACAGTTTGTGCTCTAAAGCACAGCACACATATGAAATACTGTGTGGGGGTGTGATTTATCACCCAGCACTACCACCTGATACTCTTGGCAAAAAGAGGTAAAATTCTGATCAATGCTTCGTATCATGAATATGTAAATGGTAAGAAAACCCACAGTATAATACACATGGCATATAAAACAAAAAACAATTTTTAAAAATCATCACCAAAAATTTACCTAAAGTATCATTAATCATGTTTTACATAAAGTACACTTTAAAAGCCTGGACAGCCTAAATCCCAAACCAGGCAATATAAACTTATATATTTATGACTTTCTTTGCTTAACCTAAGAAAGGCTCATTTTTGTAAGTCTTTTCTCTGATTAGACTTTACAATTTATTGCCCAAATACAGGGTCAATACTGTGGAGTACAATCAACTAGTTTTTTAATAACATAAAAGTATCCACATAATCTTAAAGACCTGAAGATATTTCGGCCACAGAAAACAAAGCAATAAAGAATTAGCAGAATATTTAATTCTTTAAAAACTGTTCAACTTAATAATGATTTAAATAGCCGATATAACACAAGGCTACAATCCAAAAGAAACTGGTGGAAAAAATTGGAGAAAAAAACTTGATCCATGGGAAATAACATTTTAAAAATTATTAAAATGGAAAGTGATTCACACTTTTAAAACTGCTGACACTAAAGAACTGATGTTATTACAGGAATTAGCACTGGAAAGGGTAGGAAAAGTTAGATTTGAACCTAGTAAGGAGGGATTTTTCTTTCTCCCCTAAGTATAACTATAACACTACAATGTTCTAATTCCTTTTTAACCTTTCTAAGGCTCACTACAATAATGCTAAAGTAAAAGACCACTGAAATACATCAGATTAATGCAGTAACAAATCTTGAATGCAGAAGATTAGCAGAGATGGTGAACTTCAGGAGTACAATAAAGGCATATACATTAGAGCACTCTTAACTTCAAACTGCAAACATCTGCACTGTTACAGAAGACTCATGACCCTTAATGTGGATACTGGTATGTATGGAGAAGGCTGATGTAGGACTTATAGAAATTCTGCAGGCCTAGAAGATGCTCTTCATCCAAAAGTACCTAAGGGAGCCACTGGCTCATTCATTCTCTCTTCACTGGCTATTCATCTGCAATCCAGCTGGCTCAAACTAATTTCTGTAATAATTCATATTACTCAATAAATCTCACCAGAATTTATGTGAGTTGTGTGTTGGATTCTGATTTCACCTTTTAGTAGTGTAATGATCATATTTACCACATAACTATTGATTTAGAGAGCAGAATATCAGTGTTAAATGCTAGAGAATGAGTAGAAGAGCTCTTCTCTGGCAACTGAAAACAGTCCCATGAACCTAGAACAGGTAACATTACTGGAAATTGAGCAACATAAAAAAAAATCAATAAAAGAAATGAAAAAATTATTCTCAGGTTCATCTTGTAAGTATCTTTTATAGGCTACATTTTGTTCATGAATAAGTCCAACTTAAAGAAGCAAAAACATCTACTTGCCCCTATATGTATACCTATACACATAACAATAACTTCCAAAATTAGACACTAGAAATAGTCTTCTGTCTTATAGTTGGTTGAAAAGATATCCTGCCAAGGATCCTCTTAATTATTTTTAGTTTTTCTTAGGTGCTATTCTATTAGAGAACATTTAATTATAGCCTGAGGTAGATTGCTATTACATAGCAGCTACACAGGGAATTCCTTAGAACATTTAAACAGCAGGTTGCAGTTTGCAGAATAGCCTGCATCTCAGGAAGTATAAGCAATGTTTTAAGAGTCTCTCAGTTGGAGATCTGCTGCCAGGACTTTACAACAGAGCATGCTGTCGGAAGTGGATTTTCTTTTGAGCACAATGTCACATTCACAGGAAGGGGGAAGAACAATTCCATGGCTAGGAACAAATCAGCCAAAGCAATTATTTTATTTACAAGAACCACTACATTCTAGGTCTTCCCCCAGAAAATAGGTCCCAACATCTGAAGCTGGTGAAGGTCAAAGTCTAATCACAGGTATGGAAAATGCTGTCATATTAGCCAAAACAATTATTGAAAAAGGAAATATAGATGGAAAATCTGAGTTACTTGAGCCATTTGGAAATAGCAATCTTTAATGGAAGTACAGGCCAAATAAATTATCTGCTATAAATGTATCATTTAAATAGAAAAAAGGAGTCTAATTCTGTTTACAAACTCTGAGAGTAGTGTGAAAATAAAAGTAGTTGGGTCAGTACAGACTTTTTGTCAATTAATATGAGAACAAAGAGAAATACATAAAGTAAGAGATCTCGTCACTGACCGGATCCAAAGTATATTTAGGGTAACCCTTTGTTCCATCTGCAGCCTACATGCTGTCTCAGCCTCCCTTTTCGTAACAGCTTTTGGACAGAGTTCATGAGGTTATGCCAATTAATCCGAAAGTGGAGAGGCTGGCAGGATTCTGGCATTATTCTATGAAGTACATTAAAAAAAAACACAACTTCTCTCTTTCCATTTTAAGGAAAATGAAAGCTAGTTTGTTCATTTGCTCAAAAGCTTCAAAAGTAGGGGGAAATGATTCATGTTATTAGTTTATGAACAGAAAGGTATTTATCAGATAGACAGAAAACTAGGTAACAGGAACAGAGCAAGAAATGCAAACAATACAGACACAAAATTTTGCATAGATGACATTAGTGAGTATCATATGAAGTAGTTAAGAAAAATGACCCTGTTTTCTACAAAAGAATCCTGGGGAAAACTTCAAAAATAGTCTTTTCTATGATTTTTTTTAAACCCTTCTAGGTACAAGGGGTACCAAGCTTCTTTCAGGATGCTAGCTAAAAAATGGTAGTTGATTCCAAAAAGGTATAAGAGGAGACAGCATTCCTCTTCTATCTACAATTTCAGGCATAACCTATTGTTTAAATATTCTGAAGAATTTTTTCTTTAGCTAAAGGACTTTTCACGTTCTGAAATTCTATGATTTAGTACAGAACAGTAGCAACCTACACTTGTCCCTGCTCACATGGAACCAATGAATAAAAGAAAAAGGCCCAATGGGAAGCCTTATGAATTGATGCAGAGTGAAGTAAACAGAACCAGAAAAATAATATAAACAATGACTACAACGATGGAAAAAAGAAGAAGAAAAATATCAATATGAAAGCTGCAAGGTTAGAATGACCATGTCCGTCCCTAAAAGAAGAAGAAAATGTATCTCCTTCTCTCTCTTCCAGCTTTGCAGATGTGGGGGGCTATGGGTGTGCAGCACTGCTTCTACTGTCAGCCTTGTTTGGTGTGCTCTCCCCTATGCACTTCTGCATTCTTTGTTAAAAAATATGCCTCTCTACAAATGGGAGGAAAAAGGGCTATGCTGGGAAATGAATGTGACATAAAAGCAAAAGATAGTAATGAAAATTAAAAACAAAGTAGAGAAATGTTCAAATGACACCACACTGCTCAACCAGTGTTGAGCAGCTCCAAGGTGGACCAGTTCATGACATCTACTGAATGCAATATGAGTCACTAGCCAGCTTCTTCACTGACCTCTGCTTTTGGTCCCAATGAAGGATTAATCGAATTGTAGCTGCATGTCCCCAACTTTCCCCTAAGAAAAAGAATATAACAATGACTTAAGAGTATCTTGCCTTATCTACTAGGTAGAGAGCAGCGTTTCAGACTAACTCCAACAGCTACAGCCTCATTTGATTTAATACAGTAAAACCAGTTCACTGAGTTTCATCAGACTCAGGACATATGCTGCATTATGAACAAGGAAAATACTGTAAATCATACAACTTTTTTCTTTTAGTTAACTTTACCAGGCACTATACTAGTCAATCTTTCATGCCACCAGACCCACTCACATATTTCTGCCGCAAGAAAGTTAAAAACTCTAACACATTAAGAGCTTAATAGAGGAATCCAGAGACATTTTGCCAATATATTCTAGCAACGCTAATGAATTCTCTCCATCTCTTAGAATCCCTAGCTTCTTTTTAACTTAACTTCACTCAAGTATCACCTTTTTCTGAAGTCTTTCCTGGTTTCCCCAGCTATTAATATTTCCCGTCCTCCAAAAACCTTACATCTATTTTATATCTTCATCTATGTGTACATGTTGACATCTCCAGGTAAAATGCATACTCCTTGGTTTCATTTGTCTATGTATCTCTGGCATAGTAACTAAGCATATAGTAGGCATTTAATAAATGCATGATCTGAGTAATGATCTCCTAATAGATCTTCCTGTCTCCGCTTTCTCTCCTCCAAACCATTTTATATATATGCCAGATTAACATTAATAATGTAAAAATCTGATTATGCCAATCCTCTACTAAAAAGCCTCTCCCCATTGCCTAATGGATAAAGATTATAAACTCATTAGCCTCACTACACAGTCTAGGACCAATTGACTTTTTCAACCCTATCACTCTACTCGTCAATATAAACATGAGGTATTCTAGTAATTGCTTCTCCACTGACTCTAATCTTTCATCACGACACAAAGGAGCCTTTGGATTTCCAAAGGCTCTGACAGCAGAATACAAGCTCAGGCAGGTCCTACGTGAAGTTAGAAAGACTTCAAGTGTACACTCAGCAACAACCTAAGTATCTGATATCTGAGAACTAATCTAGTAAAGTATGGAGATGCTTTTCCCCTAGAAGACTGGCTGCTAGTTTGACATTTTTCCAGTATTCATGGCTCATGAATACTACTTGCTAGTGAAGAGAGAAACTGGAATCCATATTTAATGGAAAGTGTCTCCATAATGATGAAATCACAAATCCTTAAAGAAATATTATTGTTATTATTCATGAACTAACTGGACTAGTCACCATTCTACAAGTGTAAATGTCTGTAGTTATTCTATAATTTTCAGCTTCACATCATCCTCTAAAACTGGTATGTTTCAACTTGTTCACACTCGCACCTCAGATTGCTGAAATGAAGGCTTCTCTCTAGCTTTCCCTAATCTCCTCCAGGGAGAAATACTTTCTTCTTTGCTTCTGCATCTTCATATCACTTGCTTTGTGCCTCCTTTATATGCTTATCTTATTGCTTTATGATTATATATTTATGTATATATAAAGATTACACAGTATTATTTGCATTTCTGTACATCTCCGATCTTCCTTAATAGGTTTTAAGTTTTTTGAAGATGAAGACATCTCATTGAACTCCCTCTATATCTTCTCTTTGACAGTCTGCTCTCTAAAATAAGAAGGAACATGCAAATCAAATAACTTTATATTTTCAAAAATCTCACAAGACAAAAATTTATCTTTTGAGATGTAAGTCATCTAATTATAAACTATCAAATTTTTTGTTAGGTGGAGAATTCCCTTTGATGTAGAACACCTGTTTCAGTTACTGGCTATTTTAAAATGCAAACACCTCTTAACATTTGCAACCTTCTCCACTCAGAAAACATAAACTACCTGTTACATTTTCCTTCAAAACTTTTTGAAAGGCTGCCAAAAAATCTGAGATAAAGAAAGAAGTAGAATATGAAGATAATCAAAGGGCTTTATCTATGAATATAATTAAAAATCCAATGTTCTCTAAAGAAATATCTTGACACTGCTCCTCTTGTCCCCAGCTGTACCTGCATCTTTGTATATCTCTCTCTTCTTCCTCATAATTAAGAAAAGTGTACTGGAAAATGGATGCAACAGAATTCATCTTCAGAATAATTTTCAACAAGTACAGTAAGTTAAGTCTAAGCCTAGTCAGGTACCTACCACTGATGTAGAGTTTCTGTTCTTTCTCCCTTACATCTCAGTGTAATTATAGCCATCTGCTCATACCCTCTACTTTCCCCAATCTCCATTTCAAAAGTCTTAAACCAAACAGCTTTTATTTACCATATCACATGATAAATAAATAGCTTAGCATGTGACTCCAACCAAAAATGCTTGGTTTTAACAGAAGAACTATCCCATAACAAAAAGGAATGCACCTCTAATGGTAGAATTTCAGGTAGACATGTTGTGTAGAGGGCATTCCTCATCCCCTCAGCTTTTACCTCATAGATTTGCTTAAGGCCAAAATGAGTAGAGAGTAGAACCCAGGAATGAAAAAAAAAAAAAGAGTAAGAAGGGAAAATAGTAAAGTGGTTTTGCAAATATTTGGTTGAACTTATAATACCAAAAATTCCATATAATGCTTCATTTTGGGTTTTCAAATGACTAATTACAGAGCTAACTTCTGCTTTAAGCAAGCCCAACATATGGTAATTCACTTTAAAAAAAAAAAAGATAAATTAAGGGATGATTTTTTGCTTTACAAAAAGACTTTTCCATGGGTTTTTTTTTAACCAACCAGGCTTCCAAGTGCATTAAAAAATAGTTCAACTTCAAAAAAACAAACCAGATTCACACACTCTTTTCTTTTTTTTTTTTTTAACAAATGGTAAAAATATGGAACGCTTCACGAATTTGCGTGTCATCCTTGTGCAGGGGCCATGCTAATCTACTCTGTATTGTTCCAATTTTAGTATATGTGCTGCTGAAGTGAGCACCACACACTCTTTTCAAGAAATAATTCACTGAATAGATTGACCACCTACTCAGCGCCAGGAACTGGAATGCCAACCAAAAGTAACACTACTGGTGCTTGAAGGGCATGTGTTCTATCTGAGAGGTTTCTGAGGACAAATTCTTGTGATTCTTTCTCTAAAGTGCTATAAATGGGCATGAACATTACATTTTAGCTTTTTAGCAGAAAAGTTAAAAGTAGGCTTGTAACAAAAGTCTGGTAGTACTTTATTTCCTATTTTTTGCAGTATAGTGCCATAGTCAAAAAGCATTTAGTTAAAAATAATTCTGCTGCTTTTGCTTTTGTGTCTCAGTGGCCAGAAGAATTATAGAAAATAGGAATCCCCTATGTTTACATACTTAAAAACTCCACAGGTATATAAAGTTTTTAAAAATTATTAATTACTTACCTAAAGCAGGAACTAGTAAGGACTGATTTTTCTCAATTTTTGTTGTCATTTGATTAGTCCAAATTACCTGTAAAAAGAAAGAGAAAGAGAGAAAATGAGCTGTGCAGGCCAATAATTAAGTCTTTGACCAATTTTTTTGAGGCCTTATTTCTACAAGACTCAAAAAAAAAAAAAAAGAGCTGATGCTGAAATAACTCTTGACTTAAGAGTTTTCTATAAATAAAGAAAAACCTCATCTTTTAATTTTTGCAGTTTTCTCATTCAAAAACAAAGTTAATTTTACCCATATAAACACAGTAGGCAAGTTATTATGTAAATATGTATATAGTTATAAATGATATAGCAAAATTCTGAATGTTAAGCCATTAAATAAAACTCATGAAGGAAATAGAAAATCAAACTAAAAGTTAAGGTGTCTGTAGAACTGTACCATCTCCAACACAATGATCTTCCTTTTCTAGTTTTTCTCTCTCTCTTTCCTTTCTTTCCTCCCTCTCTTTCTCCTTTTCCTCTCTTCCTCATTTTTCTCCTCATTCTACTCTCATTTAAAAAATTTCCTGTGCATACCTTACATCTGCTAATAGTACTCATAGTTATTGCTTTTGTCCATTGGTAGCAGTCAGAGCTAATGAGATGGATAATAATCTCTGGGTCAAACAGTGGTCTATGGTTAAGATTTTATATTCTGAAAGCTAAGTTTTGTCAATTTTTTTTATCTTTTAAAATATTATTTATTCATGACTCCCTGGGAGGGGAGGAGAGATGGATACTGGGAGAGATTTTGGTGACATGAAAAACAAGATAATACAAAATTTATTTTAAAAAGATTTGGAAAGATTAAGCAGCTTAATAGCATGAAGGGAAAAAGGAAGTTAAGGTACTCTAGAACACGAAAAACAAACATTAGCAAGAATAACTTACAACAGCAAAAGCTATGTGCATCTGGCAAAGGCATACAAAATCTCTGACAATCAGAATTTCTGATATTCTCCCAATACCAATTTTTTTTCTAATAAGTGAGATTTATATTGCATTTAGGTGGAATGGATAAAGAAGTTCCCATCTTAGAGATGCACTTCTTTCAAAAAACAGCACCATGAAGGAAAAAGCTAAGAAATGGTTGCTTTGTTTATTGGATAGCAAAGTACCCTAGCTACAAAGGAGTAGTGGATAGATCACTGCATTGTGGTCAGGAATAGCCATAAGACCGCTGCAAAGACTGTCTTCTAGCTTCCTTTCACTGAGCACTAAGGGCCTCCAGAGAACCTCAGAATAACTTCAAACAAGATTAATCTTAGTTAAATGGATGTTTGACTGCCTAGAGTTGACAACACAAACAACAACTTTTGCTGAACCTATTTGAGCTTATGGGGAGCTAGGTGGCACAGTCAACAGAATGCCAGGCCTAGAATCAGGAAGACTCATCTTCCTAAGTTCAAATCTAGCCTGACTTTTATTAGCTATGGGACCCTGGACAAGTCACTTAACCTTGTTTACCTCAGTTTCTTGATCTGTAAAATGAAGTAGAGAAGGCAATGGTAAACTACTCCAGTATTTTTGCCAAGAAAACCCCAAGTGGAGTCACAAAGTATCAGATACAACGAAAAATGACTGAACAACAACAAATTTGACCTTATGCCATATATGCCTAATTATTTTTATAAGTATAACTCTTGTTTAAAAATTTTCATTATTTTATCCACTACTTTCCACACATAAGAAATGACCAGAAATACTAACTTCTGTTTTACCAAGAATTTTAAATTTGGATTTTGCCTTGCTAACACATATTTACAATCCAATCACTCTCTTTGCAAAAACACTTGAGTAAATGCTATTATAAAAGAAAAATATTGAGAATTCCTATGGAATAACATTTTTGCAAGAGAGAAGCACAAAGCTCCATTTTAGAACTGCAAGTTTTCATAGTGGCTGAGCATTTCTCAAGCTTTGCTCTAAGGAACTATAAATAGCTCTACGTAGAGTATGCCACCTACTGGCCATTTAATAAGAGTAAAAGAAATCTGAATTAACGGCAAATGACAGAAAAAGTATTTAAGACAGGGTACTATCAATTTCTATGGGTGACAGAAAATTCCCAAACACTACTGTCAGGGAAAAATTAATAACAACAACAAAGATAACAAATCATCAACAGCCAGACGCATTCTCTATTTCATATACTGGCAGAGAGAACATGGGAAAATTGCTTACCAGATATTTCACAAACTCATAGCTAAACCACCACTAGAATTGACATTGCTATATGAAACAATGACTGTTCACATAAAGGAGAAAAAAACCATCTCACTCTTATCATAAGGCTCACCTCATACACAAGTTACTAAGGCAAACATAAAGTCTAATTTGCTGTATGCAGACATTGGAAGGTACAGTAGGTAAAATGTGATATAGTTTATTATGAAACTTTCTTGATACACAAACTTACAGCTAATTTGTGATTATTTGCCATGCTGATCAGTTGCTGTGCTAGTCCATTCAGTAACCGTGTTCGAAGGGAGAGGTCATCAAAATCATGCCGAAATGGAAATGCAATCCCATCCACTACAATCAGCTGGACCTAAATACACAAGAGGTCAAAGTATGAAGTCGACATTGAGTTTTTTTTTTTAATTTACTGAACCAACAGTTAAATTATAGGATTAAACCTGAAATCCAGGGATTTCCCTGGAATCCAGCTATTCTCTGGAATAGCTCTTTTACTGATTAGTCATAAGTTTATACAAGTTAACCATCTACACAACTATAGATTCATGTAAGAACTGTTAGAAATTGGACTTTATTAGTCAAGTTCATTATGCTAAAACATTCATCTAAGGGAGTAAGAGAAATCGTTAACATCTTAAGCTTTTAACATTGTACTTATCATCACATAAATATATCACACTACCATCAAGGTACAACATAGCATTTACTGAAGTGTCAAGCTGATTATAGTTTCTGTCCAATAAATTTTATTCTGAATTGTTTGTCTTCATAAAACAGGGCTAACTTCAGCATAAAATTCTCAGATAATTTTCAAGACATCATCTCATGAAGCTTTATTGAATTTTAAATGCATAATCTTGCTTTGTTTGAAATATACCAGAAATTTACTATAATAATACAAAATTTAGTATATAAGTAAATCTGTCCTTAGGCCCATTCAAATAGGCTGATGAGTGGATCTATAAGAGAGCCCTGGACTTCCATTTCCAGGATCCAAAATGGTGGGGTAAGAAGTAAGTTGCTCTCATTCTCCCTTAGTGACCTCTGAAAGCCCAGAAAATATCACCCCAGGAAAAACCCTGAAACAGTTGAGCCAGTAGAAAGATAGGGTGCAGCAGTCTTGTAGCCCAAAAGCTTAGGGGATTAATGGGAAAGGCCTCTCACTTAGGGGGAGGAGAAGTAGTACAGGATGGAAAGTTTCCCAGCAAGTAGTGGCAAGCTTCACCTCAGCATACCAGGGGGAGATCATGAGCCCCAGGCTGGTGGAGCAGGCAAGCACCACCACCAGGACCCCCCAAATAGCTCAGTACAGGCAGGGGAACTGGTAGACGCCAGCTCGGAAAACCACTATGTGTATTCTCTAGCAGCCAAATCTCCCAATGCCTCAGCACAGTTCCAGGAAGCACTACTCCAGCAGGCAAAGCTCCAGGCTGACAGATATCCTCCAGAAGCCAAACATTTGAGCTCAAGGCCCGAGTGAACAGGCATCCCCCAGGGGCCAGACTCCCCACCCCCACCACAAGAGCTCCAGTGTTGCTGATCTCAGCTCAGCACCAGGTAAGCTGCCACCCTACTGCCTCCAAATGTCAGCACCTGAGGCCCCAGCACACAAAGCCAGGGATCAGGTCCCTGGCTCCTTGCACAAGAAGCTTGGGTCAGTGCCCCCTTCACTCCAGGAGAAGAGCTCAACTTTTTTTAAAAGCCAGGAAATAACCATGAGCAAAATGCAGAAACAGACAGTGACCACAGATTCTTATGGAAGATCAAGGCACAAATTCAGAAGAGGACATTGTTAATATACCCACATCTGAAACCTCAAAGGGAAATAAGAACTGGTCTCAAGTCCAAAAAGCCTTCTTGGAAGAGCTCAAGAAGGATTTTAAAAGTCAAATGAGAGAGTCAGAAGAAAAACTGGGAAAAGAAATGAGAGGTATGCAAGAAAGAGTCAACAGCTTGGAAAAGAAAGGACAAAAATTAACTGTAGAAAACAAGTCCTTAAAAAATACAATTGGCCAAATGGAAAAAAAGTACACTGAAGAAAACAACTCCTTAAAAAGTAGAATTGGCCAAATGGAAAAGGAGGCACAAAAACTCACTGAAGAGAAGAACTCCTTAAAAAGTAAAATGGGCCAAATGGAAAAGGAGGTACAAAATCTAATAGAAGAAAACAACTCCTTAAAAATTAGAATGGGGGAAGTAGAAGTTAATGACTCTATGGGAGATCAAGAATCAGTCAAACAGAAACAAAAGAATGAAAAAAATAGAAAAAAACATAAAATATGTCTTTGTTAAAACAATTGGCCTGGAAAATAGATCCAGGAGAGACAATTTAAAAATTATTGGTTTACCTGAAAACCATAATGAAAAAAAAGGGCCTGGACAGCATCTTTCAGGAAATCATCAAGGAAAACTGCCCTGAGGTCCTATTTTACCTAGAGGGTAAAATACTCACTGAAAGAATCCACCAATCACCTCTTAAAAGAGATTTCAAACTGAAAATGTCAAGGAATATTGTAGTCAAATTCCAAAATTAACAGATCAAAGAGAAAATACTGCAAGCAGCCAGAAAGAAACAATTTAAATATCATGGAACCACAGTCAGGATTACACAGGACCTTGCAGCTTCTACATTAAAAGATCGGAGGGCATGGAATACAATATTCTGTAAAGCAAAGGAGCTTGGATTACAACCAAGGATCAACCACCCAGCGAAACTGAGCATGATCTTTCAGGGGAGGAGATGGACCTTCAACAAAATAGGGGACTTCCAAACCTTCCTGATGAAAAGACCAGAGCTCAACAGAAAATCTGATCTTCAAATATAAGACTCAAGAGAGACATAAAAAGGTAAACAGGAAAGAAAAAAGCAACATGTTATTAATAAGAGCAAATTGTTTACATCCCTACAAGGGATGATGAAACTTGTAACTCCTGAGAACTATATTGTTATTATGACACTTAAAAGGGGTATACATAGACAGAAGGTGTGGGTATAAATTGACTTTGTTGTGATGATAAAAAGATCTAATTAAGTGGTGAAAAGGGATTATACTGGGAGAAAAGGAAAGGAGGAGGAAGACAAGGATAAATTACATCACAAGAAAAGGCACAAAAACCTATTACAGTAGAGGGAAAGAAGGGAGGGAGATGAGCATTGTTTGAATTTTACTCTCAACAGATTTGGTTAAAAGAGGGAATAAGATAATCATTTAGGTATAGAAATCTAACTTACCCTATAGGAAGTAGAAGGGGAAAGGGAAAATAAAAGGGGGGGGTGAACAGAAGGGAGGGCAGACTGAGGGAGGTGGTGGTACAAAATTCTAGTGAGGAGGGAAAGGGAGAAAGGAGAGACTAAAGCATAAACGGGGGAGAGGGGGAACAGGATGGAGAGAAAGACACAGATAGTAATCATAACTGCAAATGTGAATGTGAATGTGAATATGAATGGGATGAACACTCCCATAAAACAGAAACAGATAGCAGAGTGGATTAAGAACCATAATCCTACAATATGTTGTTTACAAGAAACACATTTGAAGCAGAGGGATACAAAGAATAAAGGTAGAAGCCTGGAGCAGAATATATTTTGCTTCAGTTGAAGTAAAAAAGCAGGGGTAGCAATACTGATTTCAGATAAAGCGAAAGCAAAAATAGATCTAATTAAAAGAGATAAGGAAGGAAACTACATCCTGCTAAAAGGCACCATAGACAATGAAGTAATATCATTACTAAACATATATGCACCAAGTGGTATAGCATCCAAATTCTTAGAGGAGAAGTTAAGGGAGTTACAGGAAAAAACAGATAACAAAACTATACTAGTGAGGGACCTCAACCTCTCCCTCTCAGAACTAGATAAATCTAACCACAAAATAAAAAAGAAAGTAGTTAAGGAGATGAATAGAATATTAGAAAAGCTAGATATGGTTGACCTCTAGAGAAAATTGAATGGGGATAGAAAGGAATATACTTTTTTCTTGGCAGTACATGGCACCTGCACAAAAACTGACCATATACTATGGCATAAAAACCTCACAATCAAATGCAGAAGGGCAGAAATATAAAATGCATCCTTTACTGATCATGATGCAATAAAAATACATGTAATAAAGAGCCACTGAAAGATACACTAATTGGAAACTAAATAATCTAATCCTAAAGAATGAGTGGGTCAAATAACAAATCATAGAAACAATCAATAATTTCATCCAAGAGAATGACAATAATGAGACAATATACCAAAACTTATGTGATGCGGTGAAAGTGGTTCTTGGGGAAGTTTTATATCTCTAAATGCTAATATGAATAAAATAGAGAAAGAAGAGATCTATGAATTGGGCATGCAACTGAAAAAGCTAGAACAAATTAAAAATCCCCAATTAGACACCAAATTAGAAATTCTGAAAAGCAATGGAGAGATTAATAAAATTGAAATTAAGAAAACTATTGAACTAATAAATGAAACTAAGAGCTGGTTTTATGAAAAAAAAAAACTAAAATAAGATAAACTTTTAGTTAAGTAGAGCAAAAAAAGAAAGAAGAAAACCAAATTACCAGCATCAAAAACAAAAAGGGTAAATTCACTACCAATAAAAAGGAAATCAGAACAATAATTAGGAGTTATTTTGCCTAACTATATGCCAATAAATTTGACAATCTTAGTGAAATGGATGAACATTTACAAAAATATAAATTGCTCAGATTAAAGGAAGAGGAAATAAAATATTTAAATAACCCCATTTCAGAAAAAGAAATTGAACAAACCATCAATGAACTCTCTAAGAAAAAATCTCCAGGGCCAGATGGATTTACAAGTGAATTCTATCACACATTTAAAGAACAACTAATTACAATACTATATAAACTATTTGGGAAAATAGGTGAAGAAAGAGTCCTACCAAATTCTTTTTATGATATAAATATGATGCTGATACCAATCAGGAAGAGCCAAAACAGAAAAAGAAAATTAGACCGATTTCTCTAATGAATACAGATACAAAAATTTTAAATTAAAATATTAGCAAAGAGATTACAGCAACTTATCTAGAGGATAATACACTATGACCAAGTGGGATTTATGCAGAAATGCAGGCCTGTTTCAATGTTAGGAAAAATATCAGCATAACTGACCTTATCAACAACAAAACTAACAGAAGTCATATGATTATCTCAAAAGATGCAGAAAAAGCATCTGACAAAATACAATACCCATTCCTACTAAAAACACTAGAGAGCATAAGAATAAATGGAATCTTCCTCAAAATGTTAGGTAGCATCTAAAACCACCAGCAAGCATTATATGTAAAGAGGATAAGCTAGAAGCATTTCCAATAAGATCGGGGTGAAACAAAG